ACCAAAATCCAAAATTTTTCACCAAAGACACAATTCATAGCATTGCTAAACAACAGTGGTCCAACACTCCCTGTAGCAAGGTATCTAAAGAAGTGTTTTGAAATAAGACAGCAACCCCAGTGACAATGTTCGTTCACAGTTAAGTTTTGAATTTTGTTTTTCTATCTTTTTATAGTATAATAATTTAGTCTTAATATTTTATTTCTCTGTAATGTATTAGCTTATTTTTATTTTATTTTATTTATTGATTTTTTTAACCTTTTATTCTTTCTTAAACGTGTGTGGGAATCGAAATTACAGGATAAAGGAGACGATCGATTAAGTCAAGGAAAGAGACTTTATTATACGATATAGACTACACGAATACTATACAGCTACTGCCGAATAAAGCGTGTGTTGAAAGTATACATACAGTGTGGCCGGAAGTTTGGGCTCACGTAACTTGTTACTGAATAGCCAATCAACTAACTCAATAATAATTAACTTAAGTACATAACGTATCTCTTTGTGGTTTCCGCAGTTCGATTGTGGTTCCGACATTACTCCCGGCCCGCAAGTGATTAAATTCGAAGTAAATATAAACAGAAATACTAAAGTAAGTGTAAAAAAAAACACACTGGGGTAAAGAATCGATCATAAACAAAATACGACATTATACTAATACAACGATGTAGCTACAATCATGTCAAGTTCTACGTAAAATATCTTCAAATACTAGCATGTAACAAATTCAACTAAAGATAAATATCCATTTACATAGGCAAATTGTCACACACACACACACACAAAAACTAACACAATTTCAGTTCGTTTAAGTCTGTTATTCTGCAACGAGCAACGGCGGCCGCATTTCTACGGGGTCTGGTTATTTCAATGCCGTTAGTGTCTGGTACCGTGTTCATACCGTTAATGTTAGGTAATTCGATGTCATCTGCAGCGTTTAACTACAACAGATAGAGTTTACTGATCGGTCGATTGGTTCGTCCGTGTGGTGTTTTAATATCCACAGATCGGACTAGTCCATCTCTTCCGTAGTTTAATCTCTCAACTTTTGCCATATTCCAATGCAGTCGCTTCTGGTTGTCATGATGGACGAGAACAATGTCACCGATTTTGACGGTATTTGTTGATTTACCAGTGAGCATATGGCGTTCGCGGAGAGCGGGTAGATATTCGGAGATCCATCTACGCCAAAACTGCTGAATCAACTCAGACAGACGTAAATATCTTCGTTGAATTTCGGTTTGGTTATCACCGAAGGTGGGGTCCTGTAATTCGTCAGGGTCGACTGGTTGACTTGGTAACATCGTGATCGGACGTCCATTTATTAAATGCGATGGTGTGAGTGCTATCAAGTCGTCCGCGTTTCCAGAAACATAAGTAATCGGCCTATTGTTCAGGACGGCTTCTATTTCCGCTACAATTGTGCTAAGTTCATCACAGGTTACGAATGAACGTTGAAGTACCTTCTTAATAGCGGGTTTCGTAATACCAACCAGACGCTCCCAAAAACCGCCATACAATGGAGCGCGTTTGGGAATGAATTTCCATTGCATTCGCTTGATGGTTAAATATCTGGTGACTTCAGGAGAATTGAACAGATCTTGTAGTTTATCGGCGGATGACAGATAAGTAGACGCATTGTCGGAGATCAACACGGATGGCAAC